TTTATACTTTTATTTATTTTTAAAATAAAAGGCTCACACGTAAAACATTTACATAGACAGTTAACACTACACATTGGATCAAATTTTTGGGTTCCACCGTCTATTTAGGTGACATCAAAAGGACATTCCATTTATTGATTGCCATGTGTCAAAGTTTCTTAGATGTTAACAATGTAGCATTAAAGATGCTTTTATAGCATAATAGCAAGGAGTCAAGGTCATAAATCACCACATTATCTAACTAATAAAAGCATGTTAGTAATTGAGTAAGGTTCGTCACTCATGTTATACATGAAAACACAAACACTATACCTTCTAGAAGGACCTGATAGTTTCTCACTTGCATATACGATTAGCATGTCAGGTTTGTGGGGTTGAGTTCTGCGTAATTTGTGGGAATAATGAAATATAATAAGCTCAGATAATGAATATATGTACGCCTAAACCAAGAAATATACGGAGTACATACTTTAAAAATCACACGAATATGCATAAAATAAAGTATAAACTTATCAGCTACTGACCAAGAATAATACCCAGTACGCACTACAAAAATAACTTCTAACAAAAGTGACACAAAGTAATGTTCCACCAAAAATTAATCATTTAAGTCATTAGGATTTAATATCAAAAACAAAATATCAATTAAATAACTAAATAAATGAATTTCTGAACCAAAAGTAACTCCGTTTTATTTTATTATTTATTCAATTAGTTTTGACACAAATATTAAGTAAAGAGAGTTGTTATGTTGTGTTAAAAAATTGAAAGTTTTCTTTGAATTCAAAGAAATGACAAAAACTAAAAGAGTGAAGTCGGAAAGTAAGGTTATTAAAATTTTGAATAGAAATTGTAAAAAAAAAACCGGGAAAATTAAAATGAAGATGTGTTTATTGGAAGCATTTTATTATTGTTAACAACTAGTATAGTCCTCGTGCGATGCACGGGATATTAAAAATTGAGGTTGTAATGTTTTTTTATAAATAAAAAATGATTCAATTAAAAAAATTGATGAATGAACTATAACGGACATTAAAAAATTAAAAATTAAGAAAAAAAATGTTTATGAAAACATGTCCTCTTAACTGTAGTTATCGACTATAATAATAAGTTATTCATAGTATCATATGTTAAGTTTTTACACTTAAGAGACTATGAGGTTATGTTATAGATAGTAGTAATTATTAGTCACGTTTCATTCAAAAATATCATTAAAAATCCACTTTCACATTTCAATTCAAACTTTGTTAGCTAAATTTAACAATAAATTATTCTTGAATTTGACCTTCCATTACATAGTTTGACCTTATTTTTTTCTTTTTTATTTGATGTGATGTGAGTAGAGAGCTAATTAATTTTTCAAGCTGGAAGGCGTTTTTCATTTGCTTGTGGGCTTATGGCTGCCCTCCTAATAATAATCTTATAAGAAGACAAAAATCAAGTAATCACCTCAAGGTATCAAATACATTTACTAAATGTTTCTTAGATTGAAATAACAAAGGTCAGGAAGCATATATACAAAATCGAAATATACACTTTAATTACGACAAACCACTTCACATTTCCCGTCCACTTTAAGTGCCAAGATTATTTTAGATTTATTTATGGATTATGGATTACATTCTAAAAATGAAAGTATTGAAAAACTTATTTTAAAAAATCAGGCCCCTTTACAATTAATACATAAAACATACGTAGTACATTACTCTTCTTCCCTTCTCTTTCTTCCTCTATCCTCTGATTACCACCCACGCTACGGATATGCTCATATGCCCATCCTTAATCACCCCCCGTCTTCCCCTCACATTCATGGTGAAGAAGTTCATATTAGTCCGGTTATCTTCCTTTTTTTCTTATTCAAAATCAAATAGATCCATTTGCAATATATAAGACCAACACGTTAATCATGACGTGACTCTTCACATATCATATGGTTACTCATTATTTATTATGTAGTGATAAGACAATCATTTTTTAAATAAATAAATTAACATCATGTAACGTATGGATTTAGCTGTTATTTGCGATTGAATTCTTAGCATATCCATTCTCTTGAGAATAAATAATCTTAAAATATGTTTAGTCACCAAACATATGTAGGGAATACGTATATATTGTGAAACCTTCCTTTCAAGAATTGTATGGCTACCAATGTTATTTAATTTGTGGTCAAATTTGATAGTCTATTTCATGCAACAAATTACGTTAAGCACATGAGGGAAAGAAGAATTATACGGAGGAACTGATTTTATTTTGAATTTTTTGTCTACAACAATAATTACTACGTACGTCCAGAGTACGTAATTACTTGTGGTGATATTATCATTTAAAGTAGGGAAAATGGAAACTAATAATTCAACCTTTTAGCGGTCTTCTTACAATAATCCAACCTTCTAGTTATTCATGAATAATCCAACCTTTGCACCTCATCTTCATTCACTGGTCCCTGACCGGTCGATGACCTGCTATTCCAAACTATTTTCTTATCTTTGCAAATCATTATACCATAAATCTCATCTTTCACAAAGATAATATTTTGAAAAGATAAGAAAATAACTCGGAATAGTAAGTCATTAACCGACCAGGGACCAATGAATGAAAATCAGATGCAAAGGTTGGATTATTCATGAATAATCAAAAGATGGGATTATTGAAAGAAGACCGCTAAAAGGTTGGATTATTAATTTCCATTTTCCCTTTAAAGTAAGGTAGATTCTATGGTACCCATAAGCTAGGTACCGTACCTTTGTCCCCATGGACCAATCAGAATCATGCAGTTGAATTATTTAAATCTAAATTAAAAGGGATTTAATGATTTGGACCAATCAAATGCATGGTAGGTACGGTACCCCATTTTTTATATGGGTACCGGAGTTAACTTTCAAAAATAATTTGACGACCTTCCCGATTGAATTTTTGGCTGAAATTTGGTATGGATGAACTAGACTTGATGAGGAACATACACAAAACATTTGAGCAAAAAATACCACCGGGAAGGCCCCCAAAAGGAGGAGGTCGGACGGCGCTCCGGTCAGGAAATTCCTGACCGGAAGATTACTCTATATATATATATATGTATATATATATATATATATATATATAGGGAAAATGGAAACTAATAATTCAACCTTTTAGCGGTCTTCTTACAATAGTCCCACCTTTTGATTATTCATGAATAATCCTGTAACACTTGAGATTTAATATAAACGGATTAATAGTACTACTCATACCAACAAGATGCATCTCCTTTTAAGGGAGCTCATCCGCTAAGAACTCCAAAGTTAAGCGTGCTTGCACGGGAGTAGTCTTGGGATGGGTGACCCCCTGGGAAGTTTCTCAGGGCACGCACGAGTGAGGACAAAGTGCGCGCGGTAAAGGCTCGTGGTGGTTTGCGGGGACAGAACTATTGGTCCGGAGTAACTACCTCGGGTCCCACGGGGCCGGGGTGTTACAATTGGTATCAGAGCAACCCTGCGACAGTGTGCTGATCCGTTGGATATCGGGCGGGCACTTCGCAGGGGAAAAGATTCTGGGGTGTGATTGAGATTGGTTTAAGGGCGCAACGAGGACGTTGCGATCCTAAGTGGGGGTGATTGTAACACTTGAGATTTAATATAAATGGATTAATAGTACTACTCATACCAACAAGATGCATCTCCTTTTAAGGGAGCTCATCCGCTAAGAACTCCAAAGCTAAGCGTGCTTGCACGGGAGTAGTCTTTGGATGGGTGACCCCCTGTGAAGTTTCTCAGGGCACGCACGAGTGAGGACAAAGTGCGCGTAAAAGGCTAGTGGCGGTTTGTGAGGACAGTACTAGAGGTCTGAAGGGTGTATGGAGTAACTATCCCAGGTCCTGTGGGGTCGGGGTGTTACAAATCCAACCTTTGCACCTCATCTTCATTCACTGGTCCCTGACCGGTTGATGACCTGCTATTCCAAGTTATTTTCTTATCTTTGCAAAATATTATCTTTGTGAAAGGTGAGATTCATGAATAATCAAAAGGTGGGACTATTGTAAGAAGACCGCTAAAAGGTTGGATTATTAGTTTCCATTTTCCCTATATATATATAGGGGTGAGATCACATACAAACTAGTCTTCCTATGCTAACCTACAAACTGTCATAAATTGTGCATCTTTACATTATTTGTACTGCATCTTGAAGTTCAAAGTGTTGCATATTATTTGTACTGCATATTAAAGTTCAAAGTGTTGTATATTATTTGTAATGCATATTGAAATTCACAGTTTGCATCTTTACATTATTTGTACTGCATATTGAAGTTCAAAGTGTTGCATATTATTGAGTTTGTAGGTTAGTATTTTAAGCATGGTTTGTATTTGATCTCTTACATATATGTGTGTGTATATATATGGGAGGAACATGGCATAAACATACTGAGATCAAACATGGCATAACGACACCCTTCACCCCTTCTCGCACTCGACACTCATCTCAGCAAATCATCTCGCGAATTGCACCGCGGGAAATTATAAAGGCTCCCCTCGCGAATTGCACCGCGGGAGAACACGGAGAAGAAAATGAGACGTTGACTACATGAATTTTTTAATTTTGGAAGGATGAGGATATTTTCTTTTGGACTGAAATTTGCTGGTCTGGTCTGATTTGATCTTGTCTGATAAATGTCTGATTCTTGTGTATTTTATAACTACGAAAGTCTAATATGATTTGGTTTGGGCCTGAAAACAGTATAAAAGAAAACATCCAGATTATGCAAATTTTTTAAATTTTTACCTAAAAAGAAGAGATCCTTGTTTGAATGGTGTTGTATGTTTTTTATAAATTTGTCTTTAGAACATCAAGAAGAATATAAATTGTGGTTGATATTGTGGAGAAAATAATATCGCAAAAAAGAATTACGAAAATAATACTCGTAAAAATAAAATTGTGAAAACAAAGAAGAAAAATAATTTATTTGATTTTATGTCTATCTTGTCATTAGAGGGGCTCCAAAATATGTTAGCCCATCAAACAGGTGCCGGCCGAGCCTTTGGATGTCCAAATCCGGATACGTACCCAACCCGTCAAGCTGTACCGGGTCTGCATCTTTCATGGCCTCCTGCATCCACGCAGTCTGATTCCTCTCTGCGTGGTCTCGCCATGGCCACGTTCGCCCGCTCTTCCACTTCTCATCAGCGTCTTGCCATCTCCTGATCCCCGGCGATCCAAGAACAACTCCCACTTCATGAACCGCGCCGCTGACGCGCGAAATGGTAAACCCCCCCAGACTCAAGTCTCTTCATTCTCTGATTCATCGCCGCCCGACAAATAATAGTAACCTTCACTCGTCCTGCACGGGCGCTCTTCATTTTTCTTCGAAACCCGATGTTTCTGAACTGGTTCAGCTTCAAAGCAATCCAGAACACAGTAAAAACTCTCAATCGCACTTGGTCTTTAAGGTCTGTGAAATTTTATCAAATCGGCGGATTCAGTGGAAACAGAGCGCGGAGCTGAACTCTTTGAGCCCTAATCTAAGACCCCACCACGTCGCAAGGGTCATTGAAATCCATAACGACACTGACATAGCTGTGCAGTTCTTCTATTGGGTCTCTAAGAGGCATTTTTACAAACACGATATCACCTGTTATGTGTCGATGCTAAATAGGCTACTGCGGGATAAGAAGTTTGAACCAGCTGATCATGTCAAGATTTTGATGATAAAGGATTGCAGAAACATGGAAGAAATGAATAGGGTCGTTGAGTATTTGAACGAGATAAGGGAAAATGGTCTAGGACACGGTCTTTATAGTTATAACACTCTTTTGATTCAGTTGGGCAAATTTGACATGTTTGTGTCTGCTCAAAGATTTTATAGGGAAATGCTAAACAATGGCATCCAACCAAATTTGCTAACTTTCAACACAATGATAAATATATTGTGTAAGCAAGGGAAGGTGAAGGAGGCTTATTTGATTTTGAGTCAAGTGTACGGGCATGGGATGCTTCCAGATGTCTTCACATACACATCCCTCGTGCTTGGGCACTGCAGAAACATGAACATAGATTCAGCCTTTCTGGTTTTTCAACAGATGCTAAATGAGAATATTCATCCAAATGCAGTAACCTACTCAACTCTCATAAATGGGCTTTGCAGCCATGGGAGAGTTGATGAAGCTTTAGATATGATGAAGGAGATGACCGAGAAAGGGATTGAGCCGACTGTGTATACTTACACACTCCCAATCACTTCATTGTGTGGGACTGGACGTGTTGATAAGGCTATCGATCTTGTGATGACCATGAGAAAGAGAGGCTGCAAACCGAACGTTCAAACATACACTGCCCTCATCAGTGGGATTTCATGTTCTGGCCGTCTTAAGGTGGTGATTGGTTTGTTCAACAAGATGTTCAGAGAGGGCGTGATTCCAACCATAGTAACATGCAACGTGCTGATCAATGAATTTTGTGGTGGGAGATTCATAGACAGGGCCCGTGGTTTTCTTCAATGGATGAAGGCTCATGGTTACCCACCAAACTCTGAAACCTACAATGCCCTCATTCACGGGTTTTGCTCAATGGGAAACATAGAGTGGGGAATGATTCTTTTGAATGAAATGCTAAAGTCAGGCCCCACACCGACAGTCATCACGTACAATACACTCATCAAAGGGTACCTTGAAGGTGGTTTATTGGAGAACGCTGTTAGACTGTTGCATTTGATGAAGAGTTGTGGACTTAAACCAGATGAGTGGACATACGCAGAACTTGTCTTTGGTTTCTGCAAAAGAGGGAAGCTTGATTCGGCCATAGCTTTCTTTGAAGAAATGATCACACAAGGTTTGTGTCCAAATAAGATAAATTACACAACATTAATATATGGTCTTGCCACAGCAGAAAAAGTGGATGATGCAATTTCTTTATTTAAACGAATGGAGAAAGAGGGGTGCAGTCCGGGAATTGAGACTTATAATACTATTATAAATGGTTTATCTAAATCTAACCGACTTTCCGAAGCAGAGATAATGTGCAATAAGTTAGCTGAGAGTGGTCTGGTCCCTAGTGTCATTACTTACACAACATTGATTGATGGGCTGTGTAAGAACGGTGATACACTAAATGCATTTAAGATATTCAGAGAAATGGAAAATAGGAATTGCCCGCCGAACTTGTTTACTTATAGTTCGCTCATCCACGGTTTATGCCTCAAAGGGAAGGCATACGAAGCAGAGATTCTACTCAAAGAAATGGAGATGAAGGGATTGGTTCCTGATCATGTAACTTATACCTCTTTAATTGATGGATTTGTAGCTTTGGGTGGGTTAGATCATGCATTCTTACTTTTCTCCAAGATGATTCATAGTGGGTGCCAACCAAATTATAGAACCTATAATGTGCTTTTGAAGGGTTTGCAGAATAGAAAGGATTGTTATAGTTTTGATGTTTTGTGTAGTTTATTGGACAGAATGTCAGAAAGCAGATGTGAACCCAGTTTAGATACATACTCTACCCTAGTGGTTGGGCTTTGTAAAGAATGTAAAATTGATGAGGCTGAGAAGTTGGTTACGCATATGAAGGGAAAAGGCTTATGTCCAGATGATGCAATGGAAAGCTCACTTTTGTGTGCCTATTGCAAGGGATTGGATGTGAGGCCCGCTCTTGAAATTTTCCGTTCTCTGACTTCGAAAGGTGTTATACTTTCCTTAAATATTTGCCGGCTACTCATTTCAGCTCTCTGTAAAGCAAAGTGGCTGAAAGAAGCAGAGGATGTGTTTAGGAGCATTCTTGAGCAAAAAAGGAACTGTGATGAGATTGTTTGGACCGTTCTGGTCGATGGTTTGCTGAAGGAAGGGGAATCAGAAATGTGTATGAAGCTTCTACACATTATGGAATCCAAGAATTGCTCTCTTAATGTGCAGACATATCTTATACTGGGAAGAGAGTTGTCCCAAACAGATACATGTATTGATACTCAGGAAATTGGTAATAAGTTGGGATTTATGAAGAGATGAGAAATAAGTATAAGTATATTTCTTGAATCTCAAGGATCTGAAACATGGTGGAGATAGTCTGTCTGGGATGCATTAATTTTTTTCCCTCTACTGCATCTTCGGAGACGATCCCTATGTCTGATTTCTCATCTCAGATGGTACTGACAGTTCTTATATTGATTCTAGATTTCTTTTTTCTTTTTTTCTGCATATAGTCCAAAGTTTAATCACATAAGTTTCAATGGTTATCCTATAATATTACTTAAAACAAAATTCATGGACAAAATGTGACTACACGGTTACTATAGGCAGTACAGAAGTACAACATAATCATTGCTTTGTAAAATTGAGCATAACCATGGTTGCTACATATTAACCATGGTTACTGCATAAAAATATCACTTTGTGTGAGTAGTTAAAAACACTACGGTCACTACATATTAACAGACACTTTTGTCCATTATTTTTATTCTAGTCATATATTTTTCATTATTTCTTAAGTTTACATCATGTTGCAGAACAAACGTCAGACAGAATGTGTGGTGGCAGATTGCTGCCTGAACCCCGGGTTGAACAGTCGAACATTTTCAGGTAAAAAGGTTCATTAGTCAGCATCTTGACTTTACTACATTGCAATATATTGTTGTAACATAGACTAGGGATATTTTTGACCCCTGAAAACGCTAGAGAAATACAGGAAAAAAGAGCTTAGGGAAGTTATATTCTTGTCTTCAGTTTTACCTCTTAAAATGCAAAGGGAAATGGAATGATTAATGTTTTTAATTTTTTTCAAATGCTTAGTTGTTAGACTTTAATTAATAGAAATAAATAAATAAATAAATAAAGCGAGTTTGAACACATATAAAAATAATGCTTCCCTACGTGTTCTTTCTTCCATACTTTCCCCAACATTTTCCATTCTTGTTTTCTTTGGATGAGAACTACTACCTTCTGGTTCCCAGCATTTTTCTAGTTCCAATAGTATTTTCCATAATGTCATGGAAATAATACTACCTTCGATAGAAAAAGATACAATAGTAATTGTAAACCTCATTGAACTCATTACAGGACATATTGTAAATGGAAAACTTACCCTTTTTCCTTTTTGTTCCTTTGCAGGATCATTCATTGCATACAGAGTTGATTGTGACATGTCCATAAATTTTGCTTTCCATTGATGATAAACATGAAAGACTGAGGTATTTAGTAGAAGAAACACAGCCTTTAGTTTGTGACAAATAGGTAATGTATTCATTTCATTTTTCTTCCCTATTCTTTTTGGTCCCGAATTCTTTGAATGCAAACTGAAGATATATGATGAAGTGAAGGAGTAATAGGTTGCCGTCCAAAATGTACATTCTTGGCACGCAGTAGTTCTGTGTTTCAGTGTTTGACAGGCCTGGAGGAAGGCTTCATAGGAATGTATAAGAAGAATTATGTGAGTTTTTTTGGGAACGTGAATATCATCATTGATTTTGTTTTCCACAAAAGAGATGTAAACATCATCATTGAATTATGCAAAAAACATTATATGTTTAATCATAATTCATGAAAGAGGGGTTTCATACAGATCTTGTACAGTACTGACCATGAATTTGTATCTTTTTGTGTGAAAAGTTGATGGAGTGATTGGTGTTCCCACCATATTCAATGTCAAAAAAAGCTTTGGATGTATTTTTTTCCCGCAGTAATTCATTGTATGTTGTGATACAGGAGTAGAACAAACACTAGAACAACGAAATAAACACTAGAACAACGAAATAAACCTATCTCCTATCAAGAACGTGTGCTATGTCTTTGTTAGTTTTATGTTTTATTTATTCTATATAACAGAAATTGGTTTTCTATTTCATTTTATCTGGATATGTTATTAGAGGATTGCTTTGTTCTCCAAGAAAGAACTTAAGAACACTATGAGCCGGTTTGTTAACTATGAAATTGGTTGGATCCAGTGAAATGACCCAAGTTATGGCTGAAACAATTGAAACGATGCTCAACATGGAAAAACATGCTCAAAATATATATTACAAATAAAATCAAGAAACATTATATGGGAAAAATGCTAAAATTGTCTTCTTCATCCACTTTAATCTACTCAGATAAAAAAAGCAAATCAGGGCTTATTTTGATTATTCTACAACTTAATGCGCAATTTAAAATTTAAATGTTTGGTAAAAAAGGCTTATAAAAATTGAAAAGTTGAAAATATTTCTCCCTCTGTATCTATTTAATTGATATGTTTGCTTTTTTACGTAGTTTAAGACAATTATTGTAGATTATATGTAAAGTAAGAGGTTTTTGGTACTGTAGCGGTACTGTAGCTGCTTTTTTAATGAGTTTCTTTCCAATAAGGGAATGAGACAATTAATTTGATACGTCCCAAAAAGAAAACTGAGACAATTAAATTGATAGAGGGATTAATTGCCAAATGTGGTCTTCATTTATATTCAAATATTAGTTAAATTTTACATAGGTTTTTGAAGATGGATGGAGGTCATGGAGCCACATGTTTTATAGACTTTGGAATAAAGCGGCATTGCACTCCACTGTGTGTCTATGTTTTGTTCAGTTTTCTATTTTGCCTCACCTGAAAATGTTTGTTTCTACTTTAAAAAAGTTTTAATGTGATTTTTTAGAAAGTGTTTTAGAATAAAAGCTTTTAGTGTTTGAGAAAAGTTATTCTGGAAAAAATATAAATTGGTAGTGTTTGATAAAGGGTACTTTTGTATAATAGAAAAAATGAAAAACATTTCAAACACATCTATATGCTTTCAATTTTAAGCTTAAAATGCTTAATTTAAATAGAATTTGTTACTTAAAAACACCATTTTCAGTTTTTTAAGCAAAAAGTTGAAAAACACTTTTAATCTTATATAAACACTCCCTAGAGTTCAAGACTGATACGATAGTATAAAGTTGTGTTGGATAAGTGGAACTAGCTTTTCATATATAATTGTAAAGTCGTATACAAGTTCAATTTAATTTAATCAGAAATTAAGTATTAACAATATAAATGTGATTGGTGCTCATAATTTATTGTTGTACTTTCTGCAAAGTAAGATGTTCTTCATTTTCGAGATGTAGTGGCAGTAGTTTCAATTATATCACTAATGTTACATTGTTAGCATAGAGGCATAGACTCTTAAATGCAGTACTAAAATAGACTTCTTTAGAAACTGGATTTTAATAGACTTATTTAGAAAATGTTTTTTTTTAAATAGTTGCCCCACTTTAACTCTGCATTCATTACTTCAAGGAGTTCCAAGCGCCCGACAGCCCGAGTGCCCATCACAGATTCACAGATAGAATAAGATCGAATTAAACCAGTAATGTCACCCTTCCTCCCAATTCTGCTCTCAACATATGAATATATGATCAACACAAAATAGTCATCTACAAAACTATGAAAAAGAACAAACAAGGTGAGTATGCTCATCACTCCATTGGAGAGGAAGGGTCCACCGTCACTTTATCAACATCAACAACACTTCCCAGCATGACTGCAGTCAGCATCAACCTGCCCGCATCTGGGAAATCGTTGTGCTGCATCACTATCGACTCCACAGAGGACGAAGAAATCACAGAGCTTTCCTCTTGCCTCAGTGGCAGCACTTCGTTGAAACCGCCCTCATAGGTCTTTGCATGGGGCCCATAACACCTACTGGAAGCCTGGAAAAGGACTGTGTCTTGGAGAATGGATAGACTCTCCTCATCACCCCAACCTTCTGCTTCAGATGTTTGGTATAGCTTTTCCCAATCGTCCTGATTAGTAGCGTTTCTCCAGCACTCTTCCAACAGGCTAGTGTTGGATTTGAGAAAGGAGAAGCTTGTCCATGCAAAAACGTCAAAAGCTCTCAAGGAGAGCTCTCTGGTCTGACTCTTGAGGCATAGTTCTATTAGATCCCTTGGAGGAAGAAGCTGATGTGACTCGATATCTAGCCCTTCATTGTCTGGAAGCAGTTTCAAGATTTCTTCCTGAAGGACAATTGAACTTTTTAAGGAAATAACTTTCTTTATTGTACCGTTTGAAAAACGGAAATTGTCCTAAATAGGACTAAAAAGTTCCTAAAAAGCACAAATAGGACTATTATTTGTAAAATTCCCTAAATAGGACTAAACATTGATTTTCTACCCTAAATACCCCTAAGAGTATTAATTCATAATGAAATGCTTTAATTCATAATAAAATCACAAAAAACGTAAACAAATATTTAAAAAACGTAAAAAAATTAAAAAAAATTATAAAACATTTATAAAATAAAAAATTTAATTTTTTATTTTTTTAATTTTTTTTAAAAAAAAAAAAAATAGTAAAAACCCATAAAAATGAAAAAAATTATGGATACCTTTCTCACCGCCTCCCGCCGCCTCCCAGCACCACCACCTTCGATTGGTGAAATTTCTTCCACTTTTGGTAAAAAAATGCCATATTTTTCTGAAAATGCCAAAAAGATGGCATAATTACTCTTCAATATGCCAACATTTTCATTGATTATGCCATCATTATGGCATTATTTAAAATGTTGGCATATTTTTGTCCGGTGATGGGAGATGGTGGTGTTGGGGTGGCAGGGGTAGTAATGTGTTTTTTTAATTTTATGATTTTTTTTTATTTATTTTTTATTAGTTTTTATTTTTTTTTTTATTTTTTTAAAAAAATATTTTTATTAATTTTCTATTATTTTTTTACGATTTTTAGTATTTTTTTCGATTTTTATTAATTTTTTTATGATTTTATTATTAATTAAAACATTTCACAAGTTACAAGGGTATATTTGTCCAAACACACATAAATAGTCCTATTAAGGGAATTTAAAAAATGTAGTCCTATTTGTGCAATTTTTCCACTTTTTAATCCTATTTAGGGAATTCACTCTTTGAAAAAAGAACATATCTAAATACCAACATGCAGCGTTAATTTATAAAGATAAAGTCCTGAGGATGCATATTGTGTTGTTTTTTAAAGTCCTTTTGGAACTCGGGAAATGCTAGAAAAAACAGGGGCCAAAATAGGGAGGAAAACTTGAGGGAAACATAAAAGATCAGTTCATTCAAACTCAATTGACATACTAGTATTATATTAGCTCAAAGTCTTATATTTTAGGCGAAATTTATAGGAATAATCCCTACCTTTTGAGATTCTACAATGATAATCCCTACTTAGAGTGTTCGCAAAAATAATCCGAACTAGCAATGGTGTCCACACGAATAAATTATGGTGAATTCAAACTAATGCCCGTTTAGTAATCTCAATCCCTACCCCCACTTTCTCCATCACCACTCTTCTTCATGGGTAACATGTTATGGATCCATTTTTTGGACAAGTATATCAACGAAGGCCAGGGCGAAAAGATTTAGGAAACTTAGTTGGGCCAATCGAGAAGGATCGGGGTAATTTACGTGGCTGACTGGGAGGCTGAGGGAAAGCTGGCAGCATTTAATTAATTAGATCCTAGTTATTTCCAATTCATAGTTATTTCCTTATTTAATTAGGAAAGCTGGCAGCATTTAATTAACTAGATCCTAGTTATTTCCAATTCATAATTATTTCCTAATTTAATTAGGAAACTTCCTATTATCCTTATGCTTTCTATTAGGACTCTTGTAATCTCTATTTAAGGGGCCTAATATTGTTTAACAAAGGACTTTTTGGGGAGAATTAATTTTGATGTGTCTTGACTAGGTCGGGCACCGATTAATTCAACCTTAAGACTCTTGCATAATTATTTTTCAACGTGTCCAATAATCTGAAACTAACAATATTGATCTTAAGGTCTCAATTGGCTCCTCTTCTCATCGAGATCCCGTTTGAGACCTTGGACAAGGTCGTATACATGGATCCTTAACATAACACTTCTATCTTCTAACCTGAAGAGAACCACATATGACAGAAATGGTGTTGAGATTAAACGGGTTTTAGTTTAAATTCACTCCGAGAAGAAGAGCAGTGAAGGGAAATGCGAGAGTAAGGGTTGGAAATATTAAACAAGCATTAGGTTGTGAATTTTGCCGATTTTTTATTACACTGGTATATAGATTAGTAAATCAATATATAAATATATATAGAGAACTTTTCAAACCACTACCGAAATAAAACTTATTTGCGAAAATGTAATATAACTAAAATTGCTATGAGTAAAGTTACTCTCAAAATGATTAATTGCACTCTTAACTCGTATAGAGGAATATTCTCAAAGGGTCGAAAAGTTTCAAAAGTCTATTCACCCCCTCTAGACGTTTTATCCCCTTAAAATTCTTCGGAATCCAAATTGTTGGTACTGAAAGAAGAAAGTGTAGGCTCCTAGAAGTCCTAGAACTACAAAATGAACAAAATCTCAAGTTGTAATTAGTTCATAGTAAGAACCTGAACAGAAAACATCAACCGCTCAGATAAAACAAAAATTCACATGAAAAAGAGGGAACTACAAAACTTACCTGTAAGTTTAGAATTTGTAAATCAGCGTCAATTCTCTTCAACTTTGCCTCAAAATTTGCACACTTTCCTGCCAAATGTCAAAATATTCTTTATGTTCCATACCAGAAAATGAGAAAGTTATATGAAAATCACACAGCGAACTTCTTTGGCCCTTTTTGTAGCCAAGCAAGCAGGGAAACAAAACAACCAGCAAATTAAACATTATGCGCTCCCTAAACAATTTTAGCGAATTAAACATTATGCTCTCCCACAGAA